AACTAAAATAAAACATAAAATAAAAAGAAAAATGTTTTGTTGCCATCAAATGGGAAAGAAATTTCTAATCCAATCAATAGTATAAACAAAAAGATTTTTGTTTAAAATTAATTCCCAAATTGTGTTCACTTTTTCCTCTTCTTCTTATTTTTCTTACTATTACTAATACTTCTTGAGTCACACAAAAAACTGTTATTTACTTTGCGTGCATCGGATATATTGCTAATCTAATGGTCAAACACATTGCCTACCAGTGCCTACTTCACCACTCAGTCATTGTATATGTTATCTTGTTTTAAGACACGACGGCATCTATTAGATTGGTGTCTATTTGGTGTCAATTATTTGTCTATTGTCTTAAGCATTCAGTGCACTCGTGTGTTACCAAATACTGATACAAAAAATAAAACTATTTTTTTATTTATATATAAAATATTAAAAATAAGACCCATCAACAATATTATGCTTTATAATCTAATATCTATCATATATTGTATAATCAAACAAACAAAACAAAACAAAACAAAAAGAAATATTATTTAAATTGACCACTATTTTTATATCACTATCAAATCGTTTTGAATGTCTTACACAATATGTCAACTCTAAGGCTGTTTGATATCATATATTTTTAAAGATTTGTTTTTATAATATGATTTTTTTGCAAAATACAAATATACGTCATCTAATATCATAAATTTATTTTTTGATATTATGCAATCTTTTTTCTAGTTTTATTTTTTTTAAATTAGTTGAATCTATATATTCAACTAAAACTACTGGTATTTAAGTTATGTATAAAAGTATTTATACAGTATTTATTAATATATTTTAATAATAATAATATTATTATTATTTTAAAGCTTGTTTTAAACTATCATACAAATTATCAATTTAATTAAAAATATGCAAATAATAATCAATGAAATTGCACAAACAAATGTTTTTAATTTGAAATTTTCACTTTCAGATCATTATATTACAGTTGTATAAATTGTTTTTATTTTGTTTGATGTCCATTAATAATAAATATGACTACTTTACGCCCGGCTAGCTTTTTTTGGACTGTTAGTTAGCAATGTTAGGTATAAACCAGTATTGCCACCACTTTTGAGATTTACTTGACTGAAGTTTGAGCTTAAGTCACACATAAACTTCAAGTCCAAGAATAATAAGTATAAAATAAAATAGAAAATATATTTTTTTAGATTAAAAAAATAATAAAAACATAGTTCAATATATATCACTATAAAGTATATATTGTTATATAAAAGCATTGTGTAACTAAAAAATTTGCTATAATTGTTTTGTTTTGTAATGTTTGCCAAGTCTTATGATTTTAAAATTATACTGTAATACTAATAGTGATAATATGGTAGACAATATATCTGTTATGATATTATATTTGTGATTAAAATTATTTAATGATATACAGCAAATAGTTTTACAATTTTAAGTATTAATTATTTTATGTGCAAACTATACGTCAATATATCCATATTTTTGTCTATCTATCACTTAGTTGCTAAACGCATGTCTTATTTCGTATAATATATAATAAATATATAATTATTGAAGAATAAAAAACTTCATTATAAGAAATTGATTACTGATTCAGGAAATTGGGTTTATTAGGACTTCCAGGTCTAGAGTCCTTTAAATGACAATTTATGTAATTATATATAGAAAACACATTAATTTTTCATATTTTTCGTGTTATTTTTATTTAAAACAATAATTAAATACTAAATTTAATTATAAATAAAAAGTGATTTAAAGATAAATCTGTGGAAAAGATAAAAAAATATATACTGTTTTAGTTATTTTGTGTAAACTTAATTAAATTGTGTTGAAAATAATATTATCAAATATTATATTTATTTTTAGGTGTTTTTGATTTTCATTTACAAAAATTGTTTGATATTTGATTTAGTATATGACTTAATTTGATTTAATTTATCATTTTGATAAACAAAAAGTAATGGACAACATAACTGTTTATCATTTATCACATTAAACACAGAAAAGACAATTAAATAAAATATTATTTTAAAATTACATAATTTATTTTAATTAGTTAGCCATTTGTTTGGGACATATATTTTGACATTAATTATAATGTTATAATATCTAATGTGGGTGTCATTTAAGTACAATATAGTTATAGCATAGAAAAGCATAGACACAAAACTTTTTTTTAAAAGCCATTGAATGTCCAAAATAAAACATATAAATGTTTAGTGTTTTTAGTTTAACTAAACATTAATTAAAGTAGTAATTGAAGAAATAAAGTAATTTATAGCATCATTATCAACGAAAAGGTTCTTCATTTATCTTCAAACGTGACCACCGCTTAATTGATCACTTATTATATGCCCAGTCCTCTCAAATCTGTAGGTCTCTCTACATATCCATATCCTAAAGTACTGTATTTGTAGTACTTTAAAAACAATGTATAATATGATATAATAAGTATTGCATATAATACATGTTTATGCCATAAATATATATGATTATATAATATTCAATTTAAAAAAAAGTTCAAGTAATCCTTTTGTGTGTAATTTGTTATTGTAATATGTTTTCCAAATTTAATTTCAAATCTCAAAAATGCTTTTAAAAGTTTATTTCTAATTCATGACTCTAACAAACATTTAAAAAATATAAAATGTAATTGAATTATAGACTAATTAAAACCTGCTATAATTTATACATAGTATATATATAAATTATATTGATACGTTGATATTACTCCCACTTGATATTTTTAAGCAACATTTTTGCTAATTAATTTAAACTTTTGCACAAATATTTGTAATGCTAATAAATATTATTTTTGGCACTAAATTTTGCAAATAATAAATAACACTAAAAATTTTATTGCACTATAAAATATACAAATAATATAAACTAAAATTTATTTAAGACAAAAATATTTTTATTTAGTTTTTCCGAGTTATAAAACATAACTTTTGTCACTTAAAAAATAGTTTTTAAACTATATTTAATGTCAAAGGTTTGCAAAGACAATAATATTGTTGACCGCTATGCAAGTTATGTGTTTAAATTATATATTAATATATATTAATACGATATGTGTATAAAAATAGGGTATAACATATACATTTAAAATATATAATGTTTGCTTAGATTTTGAATTATGTAACATATAATACAGTAGTTTAACTTTTATTGTCATGGCATAAAAATTTATTTGTAGTTGAAAAAATGCTAATAATATAAAATTATTTATGTTATGTTATATTTAACATTAAATTTACTTTTATGTAATAATTTATAAAAAACTACATTTTTACAGATTAAGACTACAATTGAAAATATATCAACGATTACATTTAATGTCAAAACAGTCATAAAGTGTAATCATATAATACATTTAAATCACTAATATTTGTGTCGTATTTTTGTTGCAAATAAAAAACATTTAAAAATTCAATACAATATATATGATATACATTTTTGATATAATTTAGAGATATTGTATACGTATATCAATATATTTACAAAGAAATAATCTTTTTTTATATTAAGATTGTCATACCGTGAGGTCATTCATATCATATAAAATATATAGATATATATCATATTATATTATATAAATTTTTCTATCAAAATACAAGAAAGCTTTTATAGTTATAAAAAATTTTGATTTTCAGTTATATTTTGTGATCAATGCATTTCAACACCTTTGGTTCAACAGATTTTTATTGCACTTCATATATATTTATATATATTGTGTTTTATTTTTTTTTAAAAAAGCGATACAATTGTTGATCAACTGATTTACCAAAGCATTAGATGACTGACTCCTGTATCTCTACTATCGTCTCATAAAAATAAGGCAAAAGAAAATTGTAATCAATTTTTTGATAATACATTTGAAAGACATTTGAAATAAAGATTATTGTTTGGGCCGTAAATATAGTGTGTTTTATCATCTCTTTACTGTTTGCGCTCAACAAAAGTGTTGATAAATTGATGAAATGATAGCAATGATAGCACTCATAAATTTATGTCAACCGACCCACAAATTCTGTATTGTTGTTTCGTTATTATATTGTTTGTAATAAAATTTTTATAATAAATTTTGTGCTATATATATATATATACTGTATATATATAAATATATGTCTTGTAAACATGTATTTAATAAATTTGTAAAATTCTTAAATAAATAATATATATATATATAGTTACTATTGTTTGCAGTAATATTGCCAAAAAATTTATGCAACATTTGAATTAAATTTGTTTTATTAATTTTTGTTTCTGGATATATATATATATATATATATTCAAACAACGGCGGATAAAATTGAATCATAAAATGTAAAAATATATCCTCAAAGAAATTGAATATACAAATTTTAATTCAATAGTTGACAACAAATATATATTGTATAAGCAAAAAAAAATAAAAAGGAAAAGTATTTATTTTATTCAAATGTCTAAACATAACGATAACGTAACATCAAAATAAATTTGTGTTTTACTTCAACAACAAAAAATTAGGAAATTTTTTTTAAAAAAATAAACTAAAATTAATGAAATGTATTGGATTATAGTTAGCCTTACTTTTTTCATTCACTCTAACCTAAACAATAAAGTAAACTCAATTGTGATGTATGTTATATATGGCTTTAAGTGAAACTTGTGGCTTAACTTATAGTTAAATCTTATTTATACAATAGTACTGTATATGTAGTTTATATTGTTCAGTTATCAGTATAAAAACCATTTATAGCGTATACACATTATTAATATAATTTAAAATTTATTTTTCAGAAATAAACTACAATTTAATTGAAATAGTGATATCCATCAAAAACAAATCTAATTAAGACCTTATGTCATAAAATAATTTATTATCTATAGAAACAGTGATAATAACTTAATGTTTAAATAAATAAATAAATAAAAACTTATTATATAAATTGTATTTTATTATTAATAAATTTCAATTTTTAATGTTAACTTACGTAATGAGTTGTATCTTCTAATGATATTTTCAAGAAATGTGTTTTGAGGTGCAACGAGCCCTCTCCGACCCCCAGGCATTTTAACATTACGTCAAATCCACTGCAGAGACGGTGTGTCGCCCACAACACCCGTCACCCGACTGATCCCCTATGGACTGACAGACACAGGTGTTTGGGATCACTGGTGACGACCGCAAAGCTGATCAACAATATATTTATATTACAATTGGATTTTACACTTTAATCTATTTGTGTTAGTCGTGTATTTGTATATATATATATTTATGTAAATTAAACGGTAATTATAACAGAATATTCTGTATTGAATTTATTTTGTTGTCAGAAATTGTTGATCAAATAAATAAATATATATATATTGTATTTGTTTGTGTGTGTGTTTCCAATAGTTTTTTTACGATGATAACGCTATTACAATAAGATATTAACAATAATAATATTACTAATTGTTATAAATAATTATTGCTTGTGTTGTTTATTGTTGATATTATTATCGACAAAACTTATAACAGTAATTATTGGCTCTTTATTTATGCCATTCATAAAAAATGATTAGTAAATGATTGCATAACATGAACACAACACAAACGGATGACACAATTTAAAAGCACATTCAACTTGTTTGGGGAGACATTTGCTTTGGTAGACAACATATATATTTTTAAAATTTCAATTATTTTTACTATTTTAGTGACAATAGTGAAAAAAGTTGAAAAGTAAAAATTATTGTTTGTTATATTGCAATAATATATTTTATGGTTTGTTGTAAATTATATACGGTATGGTATGGTGTGCTATACCTGCGCTATACTCTAAACGTTAGAGAAAAAGTAATTTTTGAAACTAAGTTTGGGTGGTATGAGAGCACTACTGCAATGTTACTCTAATGTAAAGTGTAGGCGCAGTACAGACATCATATACATACACACACTCCCTGTCCTCTCTCTCTCTCTCGCTCTATATATATATATATATATATATATATATATATATATGTGTGTGTGTGTGTGTGTGTGTGTGTGTGTGTGTGTGTGAAAGTGTTGTTTCCCTTAGCAACTCATATGGAAATACTGTATACTCTATTCTATATAGTCATACAATTTTGTATATTCTGTATAATATAATAGTGATATTTATTATGTTATCTCGATTGCCAACAATACAGTATATTGTTATATATACTGTACATTAAATTATACTGTATATACTGTACCATAGTTTTCACTTTTAGATACTAATACATGTGCTGCACATATAGTGTAGTGTTTTGTAAATGTTAAGGACATACAACTGGATAGAGAGACAGTGATGGAGACAATTGATAATAATGGCACTTCTGAGTCAAATTATTCATTCATCTCTACCTAACTTTTTTTTGGTGCTATCGCTTATATAACCGATACAATTGGTTAACATTTATGATTATTTCATACAAAACAAAAATAAAATAAATCCATTATTTATCGTTTTTATAGCATTCAACCAAACATTAATTGAACGAATGTTATGTAATTTTGGGCTCAAATGAATTTATTAGTGATAACAGTGAAGACATTCAAACAATATATATATAATGAGAGAGAGAGAGAGAGAGAGAGAGAGAGAGAGAGAGAGAGAGAGAGAGAGAGAGAGAGAGAGAGAGAGAGAGAGAGAGAGAGAGAGAGAATATCTACCCTTTTATATGTTTGATGAGATGCAACAAACTTAACTCAAACTTAGTGTTGTTTAGTGCAAAGTTATGCCATGAGTTGCAAAAAAGGCTTTCAATATATTCCCCAAACGGTTCAATCAATTTTGGACATAACATCTCTCCTTAAAATTGTGTGAATATAGCATAACATTTGTTGGCTTCACTCTATGTATTGGTGCCGATAGAGGCATGTATTGAGTTATGGATTACAACTGCTGTTATGTAACAACTATAAGACTACATAAACATAACATCATTACTATTGCTATTTGACAGCAAATTGTATATAAAAAATATATATATTTGCAATTCGTTTGCAATTTTCAATAGCGATTCATGACTTTGATTTGAGACTAAATTTTATTTCATTGTATTGTAAGTGTTTGTGTAAAGTGAGGCCACTATCGACTAAATCTATGCAAAATTGTATTTACAAACATTTCAAATACACTTTTTTACTATCACTCACTCTCACACACACACACACACACACACACACACACACACATACATAGCAAACACATCAATCTTAATAAATATATATACTATTTATAGTGACAATTACTGTCGAGTCAAACCATTTTTGACACAAATATTTTTCGGTTTAAGTTTTCACTATTTTTTTGAAGACTTAAATGCATACAATTAGTTATGAGTTTTTGTTTCATAATTTTTTTAATAATTAATGATAAAAAATTATTTTTAACTAACATTGGCATTAAAAATACAAAAACAAAAAGATTTTATCTGAAAAATCACAAAAATAGTGACATCTTTATAAAGTAAGTCTCAACTCTCTATTGTTTTACTTAATTATTACGTAACCCAATGTTAGTGACATTTTGCACTACAATTGTTTCAATACTTTATATAAATATATACAGTGTATATTAAACACGTTTTTGACATAAAAGCTTGTAATAATTTCACTTAATTCATACATATTTAGATACAGTGACTAATTGTTATTTTTTAAATTTTAGTAATGATAAATTATTTAAAGTTTATGAAAATTTATGCTAATTTAACTTAATATACTGGTATTTTTTAAATTGTATTAAATTAAATTAACTATATTATTATTATGACAATTGTCTAAAAATATATTTATAGATATATGGAAAAATTATAAACTAAGTATTTAATTATTTAAAATAACATATAAATAAATTTTTGAAAATTTTGTTTCAGTAAATTATTGATATATTTAATGACAATAATAGTAAATTATTTACATTATTATATATTATTTTTAGATTATAATTATTATTATCAAGTAAATAAATATTATTTTAATAAATAATGTTTTGCAATGTATTTGTTATTATAAATGTAATATTTTATTTATTTTATTAAAATATGAAATAAAAAACCAGAGAGTTAGCTAATATTATAATTGTTATATAATAATCATTTGTATAATTTGATAATAAAAATTAATTTCTATGCTAATAGTAATAAATATCATTAAATACAGAGTTCAAAGCATACAATTAATAGCCATTTTTAGGATAATAAATATTTATCATTGATTTTTTAAAAGCCAATTTATAATTCATAATCGAAATAACCATAATTAAAAATATTTATATACTTTTATACAATGTAATATAAAGTTAATTTATATAATACTATTTATTGGTCATAATTTATTATTTATAAAAAAAAGTCATACAAACTGTTCATAATGTGCTCAACTGTGGCCCTCAAGACAGACCATCTAAACTAACGGCCAATATATCGACATTTTTTTGTTTTAATAACAGGTTTTACTTCGTTTATAATTTAGTGCCAAATTATAAGCAAATATCTGTAATGAAAGCATTTGCCAATATCTAAACACATATACATTACGTATAATTCATATTAAATTATAATTTTTATTCATTATCTAACATTATTTATATTTAAAGGTCTATTTTAAGATAATTATTAAGAAAAGGCGACAATAAATTAATTTAATATTTTTCATAACTTTTATTGTGCGTCAATTAAAACAGGTCTACAGTCTTCAACTGTTTACAACTACCTGTAATTTACTACTTATATATTGATATATTAGTTGTACTTTTAAATATTATATTTAATTTTTTTTATTTATACATTTAGTTGTTATGAAAGCACTTATCGATAAAAGTTATGCTTTGTTTTTATAAAATAAAGCTTAAATAATTATTATATATATATCAATATTAATATACTACAGTATTAAATGTGTATATATTAAATTAAAATTGTACATTGCTTATTGATTAGTCATAAAGTTTAGCTTTATACAGTATAATATTTATTTATTTACATTTGTTTGAAACAATTTATAACATAAAATTGTTTAAAGTAGCATAATATACTGTATATGACCCTCGTTGGACTCAATGATACCCTGACCACAAATAAACTAAATTTGTAGAAATTTTTTTTAAACAAATTTAAGATCCCGTCCACTAGTTTGTCTGGCAATGCTAGGCTTATATTAGTAACTGGTTTATATTGAAATTGTTATCTAAGATGCTTTTGCAACAACAAAAATAAACATTTACTATCCAGATTATATAATATATATGATATATAAATTATATATAATATTTAAAGTATAAATTAAATTGTTACGAAACTTCATTCAATACAATTAAATTTATGAAAAATGACTACTATTTAGATTAGATTATAGTTAAATAAATAAATTATAGTTTAAAACTTAGTTTTAATTAAATAAATATGTATAATCAAGGGCTCTCTATAACCTGACCGAGACATCAAACAAGTGTAGAAAATGCAAAATAGAAATAAAAAAATTGAGATAATAATTTATTTTATTAATAAAATGAGTAAATAAATTTTCTTATAAAATTCACATGATTTGGCAAAAATTACATTCATTTTAGTATAAATTAGATGATTATATGAACCAAAAAAAAACATTTGTAAATATATTGTGAATGAGAATCGGGTCTAAAAAATATAAATAAAAACGAAAATGAATGAAGAGATGGGAACTACTGGTCCGACATTTCTCACAATTATTCGCTGTTTAATTCATATAATAAATTCATATCTTTTTATTTAAATAATATAATAATAATATACCAATCTTTTGGTTTGTCATCTTTTTTTTGGTGAACTGTACACAAAATGCTACTGTAATTTTATGCATTGTTGATATGTTTATTTTATTTGTTTTTTATCACTATATATTATGCAATTTTTAACTAATTTTAATATATATCTATATTTTTTTCTAAAAAAATATATTTATTATGACTTAAGCTTTTTACGACTCAAAGAGTTCAAAATTAGTAATCAAAATTAATTTGAATAATATTGATAATATTTTTTTTGTAAACTGTATTTTTATATATTATGTTAATGTATATGATGTAGATATTATAGAGATGTAATGTAAATAAAAAATAAATAATTTTGATTAAATTAATTTATCATAATTATTTTTCTACATTATACTAAATTTAGATAATATATATTATTATATTACATTTATAATACATTTATATAAACTAAAATATATTATGATATAATTAACATAAAACCTTATGATTTATATTAGATTTACAAATATGTCATGTTTTTTGTCGGTTTAAACAATTTTTCAATTAATAAGTTTTTCGTTTTAATATATTTATCACAATTTTGTAAACACATTTAATTCGTTGTTTTATATTTAATGTGATCAACATATCTATGTTTTTCGGTGGATAAAGCATTTGATGTTTAATTAATATCTTAAAACACGATTTATTTATTTTTTTTAATTATACTAATTAAGAGTTTTTTATTTTTGTTTTTATTTAGCTAATGCTTTAAAATTAAAAATGCAAAATAAAATAATTATTTCATAAAATCAAAAATAATATTACTGTATTCAATAGGAAATTATAATAAGAAAAAATATTAAAACCTCAAACGTGTATAATGAATAACCTATGATATTTACAAATAATAATAATAATAATAATAATAATAATATAGATATAATCTTTAATTAATTTCTATTTTTTATCATTAATTAATAAATCATAATATATTTTTTGTTAGTTAAATTAGTTTAAAATAAAAATTATATAAAAACAATATTTATAATTTTCATAATTAATAAAAAATAAAATAAAATTTACTGCTGTTTTATTAGTAAATTTTGTTGAATGTATAACAATTTTGGTAACTATATTATACAATATATTCACATAATTATATTTCATATAAAAAAATTTCTAAAACGATATCAATTTTTATTATTTATTATATAGTATATAATTTACTTAAATTCATTTTACATGCAATTTGTAAAATTAAAATCTTTTTCTAAAACAACATAAATGTTATAATATTTCACAATAAAGTCAAATAAAAAAAATGTTGTTTTAATTGTTTTTTAAGTTCAAGAGACCGAAACTTTAATATTAGTATTTAAGGAGAAAAAATATTATAATCAAAATATAAAACGTTTTATAATTGTTTTGATAAATTCAATTGCAATTAAATTATACTGATTTTTAATTAAATTATGAACTTTCAAGTTTGCAAACCCAACAAAAAAATAATGCAATTCAGTTATCTATCATAAAGTGATTATTCAAATTAGTTGATGTATTTGGGACTTATGGTATGTGTGCGATGTTATGTAAGGCGCACCGGAATTATCTATTTTTATAAATATAAAGGGATGTATACTTCATATTATATAACATTACATAAAGTGGTACTTCAGTTCAATTGTAAAATTTCTTATATAAAACATATACAGTATATATATATATATAGTACAATATATACAGTATTTATATGTTATGTGTGTGTGTGTGTGTGTGTGTGTGTGTGTGTGTGTGTGTGTGTGTATGTATGTATTTATGTGTATGTATGTGTGTGTGTTTGTGTTTAATTTGATGTAACAATTTCTGCCTAAACCTGTTTCACTACTTCTCTCTCTCAATCGGTATATATGACAGCAAACGAAGAGTTAGTTTAGTTTAGTTTAAAATAGCAGACACTTTGATAATAGATGTCAGGAATCGGAAAAGTTTTTTTGCCGTTAAATGTTTTGAAGTTTTTTTTATGAGTCGACAAAAAAGTTTTTTGCTATTCATTTGACAATGAATTCAGTGCAACACTGGACGCAATCATTGACTCAAAGAAGATACACAAATGATTTGATTTAACAATTAAAACACTGTTTTTAACTATATTTTTAGTGCCACTCAAATGTTTTTCAAAATTATATTTTACAAGAATAATAAAACTATGGATTTTTAAATAGTTGTCAAAAATATATAATATACACAAATTGATATTTGCCATATATTTTTGTGTACTGCATACTATATTATTAATAATATTTTTATTTGTCTAAACATAATGTGATAATCATCAATGAAATCAGTGGTAACAACATTTCTTATGCTACTATATAAACAACATTTGCTATTATTGTTTGGTTTGACTGTTTGGAGATGACTTGAAAATATTTTTTATTTTGTCAAACATGTTGTTTGTGATGACCATTATATTTGATACAATCGATATAAGTGTGTAAATAAATATATATAAAAAATTATCTCTGAAAACTATTTTATATATTTTTTGGTATAAATACTATGGCATTGATTAAACTTTTGATTAGAGATCAACTCAACTCTCAAAGGTATTGTAAATCAATTTTTGGATTTTTATTTACTTTATTTGTATACTAGATATACATATACATATCTCTTCAATCAATTTAATTAATTTTAAAAGCATTAACTAACTTAATTAAGCTATTTTGTAGATCATTACATAAGTTTTAAACAACAAAAAAATATTAATGTACTTTAAAACTAAGCAAAAAATTTAAAAGTTAATATTGTAATTATCAACAAAAAAATATTAAGTAAAAATAATTTAATATTTAATAAATTAATTTATTCAAATTTTTTAGTTATAGATAAATTTATTTAAGACTTAAAAATATATTAAAAAATTAATTAAAACTATTAAAAGTTATAATAAACAAAACATGTTAATGACATTAAATACAGTATATATAATATATGACTAAAGCATCGATTCGTGTAAAAGTAATATAAATTGCAGTCAAACAATACATAACAAGATTCACTACAATTGACGACAAATATATTTATGATTTTCATTATATTATATAACAAAATTAATTCATAACAGTTAGAAACATATTTCTGGTTTTTATTGTTATATAATCAGTGAATGAATGAAAAAATAATATCTCTATTATTTAAATATTGTTTTGTGAATATAATAAAAACGCTTTTATCGCTATTTTGTTAAATATTTCGTCCGATAGTGAGTTGCTGTTGAATCTGTTTTTTAATAACAATGAATTAAAAACATTATTAAATGTTTTGCAAAAATGATTTATAAGAAGTTTTCGTGAGTTTTCCGAATAGCTTTACGTTAGACTACATATAAAGTTCATATATTTTATAGAAAATAGTCATATAGTAAATGCTTTTTTGTAAGCACTGGTAGTTTGTGAGTAAGTCTGTGAGTAAGTGAGTAAAAGATATATATGTTTTGTTTGAACAGTTGAATGATTTTTTGATTTTTGCTATTTTACTTGAAATGTTTGATTTGACACAGAACTGGATGTTTGCTTGGATGGCAAGTGATTGTCATGTTATGGCTATTATGGCAACCAATTCACTGTAACCCCAATGTTAGAGTCAATGGAGGAAATCGGTCGATAAAAAACTCCAAACAACTTAATCTCAATCACTTTGACCCCCAGCCTAACAAATACCATTCCCCGCGCACAGCAACCAACCGAACCAATAGTTCAACTAATTTTGATAATCTTAATCTCAATTATCTGCTCTCTGTTCTCCATGAAGATGAACGACAGGCTATATTCAACAATGTTGTTCATCAAAATCACAAGTCGGTCACCGGTGACACAAATTCACAGCAGACATACATTGCATCCAATTATAAAAAAGACAACTCAATCGATGACAACTATATTGAACTGACCAGTGATGACAAAAGAGACATTCAAGACGCCAATAAGTTGTCTCTGTTTTCATCATCGCTTAACGTGATTGATGTCGCGCCACAAGACACCCAACTGGCCCACAGTGTCCTTATAATACACAAACCAAAGCCAAATAAAACAATTAGACCGACAACTATTGCACCGCAGTTATTGAAACACCAACACATCCAATACTCTAACAAACAACAACAACAACAATACACGCAAACACCCAGTCCTATAATCTCTGCCATCACATCATCGGCATTGGGCTCATCTACGGATGGCTTTGCGACACCCGTCAGAAACAATCATAGACCACAGTTTCTCAGACCATTTCCCGGTAGAATCAAAAGTACTACAACTACTACCACCACTACTACCACTACAACAACTAATACACCGACAACAGTGGTTACAACAGATACAACTCCTGTTAAGACAACTCCTGTTAAGACAACTCCTGTTAAGACAACTCCTGTTAAGACAACTCCAGCTAAGACTACTGTAGTAAAAACAACTCCATCAAAGACAACCATCTTTGCGACCAATTTTGAGACCGAATATCAAACTATTAACTCTACATTAGAAACAACTGATGATAATGTGGAAGAATTTCCTGTTATTTTCAGTAATAATCACAATAAGGGTTCTCAGCCTTTATTTACGAGACAAAAGCTGACGAGTACTGAGTATGCGTTGATCTTCACGACACCCGAGTCTTTCACCGACAACGATAAGACCGCATTTACAGAAGTTCCGGCCATAACTAACCAACCCTACACTTTTCGTCCTCCATATGTGACCACTTATAATCCACAAAAGAGACCACCGATGAAAATAATGACAGTTAATGCCAACCGAATCAGACAACCAGATGAGATTTACTCGGAAGGCATTACTGTATTAGATCCGCCATTCCTTAGCAACCATCCTATGAAATTACCGCCAAATACAACAATAATTCATAAGAATCTGATTGTGCCGATGAAAGAGGGCCGACCAAAGCCCATGTATCCCACACCCGGTACTACACAGTATCCCATATATCCAATGGTAGCCGGAATTACCAATTGGCACACACAACCCACCACTCCATTCATAAACCCTATAGTGACCACTAGTTCACCACTTGATTTTACTCAACACTTTGCAAACACTGTTTCAGATATTAGTGAATCAGACTATACAGTGACCGCCCAATCGGTGAACAGACCCACTATAATCACAGGACATCCATTGATTAGTACACAGCCAACATCACCGCAGACATCATCACATTTGGTGACAGTGACATCGATAAGGCCGGTGACCGACACATCGATGTCCTCATCCAACACATACTTAGTCACCCAATCCGCTCAAACGCCGCGTCCGTCTACATCGACCACGGGATACGTAAATGCCATTTGGGCGCCTCCTATGCCTATAGCGGCCCGACCGGTACAGGCAGTGCAGGCACAGCCCGTGTCCACGACGAGTTGGTGGTCACCGATATCTAATGTCTTTTCATTGGATCCGACGAGTGGATCAATGTTTAGTTTTATGAATGTTATGAAAACAGTATTGTTTACTATATTAGTCTTTTTCCTGCCGCCCATCACATTGGCCGCAGCGCTCATACAGACAGCAGTGGGTTAGCAGTGGACTGTAGGTTAGGTTAAAGCAATTTTGAGCTCATTTTTATTTGCAATACCAGTTTTTAATATTGTAGTTAGCATTTGTTATATAATTAAATATATAATATAATAATAATAATGCCATTATTGGCAACTTTACTGCAAACATTTCACACGACTTGGAAACCCATTACTAGACTTAAAAACATTAAGTGATAATATAATTCAATGTTAATCCAATGTTTGCATTTTTTGTTAACTAATGCTAATTGTTATTTATTGAAGAGTGATATAAAATTATATATTATTTTATTATTATTTAAATATATATATATATTTTTATTTATATATAATTAATATATATACACAGTGTTGAATTAGTACAACAATAAAAGTTAATATTCAAGTTATTAATAATATATATTTAAATATATAATGAATTAATTAAATCATCAAAACATTTTGGGTATACCTTTAACTTAGTATAATCATTTTTAAATATCTTTTAATTGTTTCACTTATCTATTTTTTAATGTCCTTTTAATAATAATACTCATTGGTATAAAACAATTTGTTATATATTAGTTTTTGACATAAATTATTTAAAAATCATTAATTGCATTTAAATTATTCTAATTTAAAACCTATTTATTTATTTTTTAAGAGACATATAAATTTATAAATTAAATTTATTATCATTACTTATTATTATTATTTCTGTGATATATTTTATCTGATGTGTATTAAATTAATTCAATTTTTTAATAAAATAAAAAAAATCTTTTCGAAAAAATATATTTGATATTAAATGACTAATTTATAATTGAAGTTAAAGGTGAACAAAAAATATTTTTATTAATAATAAATCTTTTTTTTAGTGATTGGATTTATAGGCAACACTTATTATTACTGTACTGTAGAGACAAAAATGTAATTTTTATTAATTGGATATTATATTGTTTGAGCACTGAGTGAGTGGCAGTGATTAATGTTAGTGGATCTCATCAAATAAGTTAGGTGTTCATAATAACAATATTATTATAACAAAATTATATACAGTATATAAAATATATATTATAACATAACACAATTATAATTATTGTAGCATTCAGTTATTAATAATAATAATAATAAAAAGTGAACTAGCAATAGGTATACTGTATCGATATAGTATAGTATATACCGGTGCCTATGTATGATATTAGCACAGTTAGTCCTATTTGGTTCATAATTTGATAACAGATTCATAAGTGCGTGAAGTGAAAAAAGCTTTTATATAGATATACCTAATAAATAGATATATGTTTTCTTTAAAAAAATAATAATAAGTTTAATCAACGCGAAGTGGTTTTGAGCTGGCATTATAAGTGACTATAATTTTTTTTTATATTTGTTACCTTATTTGTGCATATCTTAAGCTATACATACATACTATCATAATATGTATTATAGTTTTTTTAACCAAACATTTTTCATAAACAAATCAATTTTGCATATTCTGTGTCTTATTTTTTTTGCTGTTGCCTTTCTTCCGCGTTTTCATTTACAACTTTTTATTTATATTACAATATTTAATATATAATATATTTCAGTATATTTATAACATAACTGTGCCTTACATTTTTTTTAAAGGCTAAGTCTAATAAGCTACCGGTACCTATATATACAATATGTGTGGCTATAACTAGTTATTGTTTTTGATATTTTTTTAAGTGCCATTTTTTTATTTAATTTTTTTGTCCATTAAAAGTAGTCATAAAAATATTTTTATTCACAGAGATTATGATTAAATCTGTCAAAAAAAACTTTTGTCGTAAAACGGTTTTGTGATATTGTGTACAATTGACAAAATTATTACGATTATTATTATGAATAATCATAATTTTATATATATAGCAATGATGTTTGCCTTTTATCAACCAGAAAATACACACATACTGTATGTGCACTACTATTAAATGATTATATAATTTTTTATTCTTTAAATATAATAAGTTGAATGAGTTTTTCTCTCTAATGTGATTACATTTTAATATTCATGTAATTCAATGATTGTTGTAAAAAATTGTTGAGAAAAATACTCTATATATATATATGAAGAGAGAGAGAGAGAGAGAGAGAGAGAGAGAGAGAGAGAGAGAGAGAGAGAGAGAGAGAGAGATTTTAGAGCTAATTTAGAGCACAACACTCACGAAAATAACTCTCAAATCATGTCATTTATATAATTATGGCTACAAATAATGATTAACTGACACTAAGTTTGCTGTCACACCACAATCACATACTGTAATAACATTATACTGTATATATTGTAGACAACCTAACAATGACTGCAAACTTTTTTTTCAAGTACCGTAGCTGTGTGTGTGTATGTTTGTGTGCTTTCATATAAAGTACAGTGTAGTATAGCTTAATATTTAGATATCTGTTTTACCATATTTTGAAAAATAAGTAATTACTTTAAGAAAAAAATAAATGTTTGTAAACATAAACAGACAAAAAAACGATGATTTTTGAACAGATAATAATGTATTATATTTGTGGTTATTTTTCTCGATAAATATAATACAATATATTTATATATTTATAGACAAACTATTTGTTATGTCAGTGATGTCTTAAAAAGCACTGTCGGTTGAATTGTTGGCTAAAAATCAAGAATTTGTTGGACAGGTATTCGCTTTTCAATCACTGGTGAACTAATTCATCGGTGAACTGAAATAATTTGTTTTTTGATTTTCTTGTATTTATATATAGAGAAAAAGATTTGTCTTTTATTTATTTAATTTAAAAGCTTTTAAACAAAAAATTTTGTCGATATTTATCAGTCAGTCAATGCAAAACAAAAAATACTACCAAATATTGCATCGATTTATATATTATACAACAAACAACAAAAAAAGTTAACTCGAGATTTAAATCTCTATCAACTTTTTGCATAAATATGACAATCAGTTTATTGTATAAATTGATATCATTTCTTCTTCTCGATGAATATGTATTTTTATTATAAATTAATGTGTTTTTTGTTGGTTTAGTGTTTCAAAATATTTTTTTTATTAGAAAAATAAAAAGAAATAAATAAATAAATAAAGAGAGAGAGAGAAAGAGAGAGAGAGAGAGAGAGAGAGAGAGAGAGAGAGACTCTGAGGTCAAGTGCAAAGTGATGAAGGAGTGGGAATAAGTTTGGGTCAAACTTATAAAATTTATAGTCAATTCATAGTTACGATACAAAAAATATAACTAACACTTGCCATACAAGAACTGTGAATAAGATTTTTATTTAAATTTTTTTTAATGTCATAAAAATAATAATATTGTTATTATTTTTCTGCTCAATAATAGTTACATTTACATAATAATACCAATATTATTATTATTAGTAGTATTACTGGTATATGTTATTTTTTATTTGCTTCTCAATCAATAGATCAACAATTATTATATGTATTATATTATTTCTATAGATAAATCAGGTTTTAGCTAACAAATGTGTCAAGATAATTTAAATGTTGAAATATTAATATGATATTATATAATATATTTATGTTAACTGTTTTCAATAATTATTATATTTTATTTTTTTTGTTGATTCACTAAAATCTACAATTTATTTATACTTTCTTAGTTAAAATACAGAAATTTATTGACAGATTTATTGATTGAAGCGTATTAAATAAAAAATTGTTTGTTTCATTAGTTACACTTATAAACAAAATTATATATACAGTATATAAAAAGTATATATGATATATTCAACATTTTAACACTAATAATTTGACAATAAACATTTATACGATATAATTTATTATACTTATATACAAAATGTATGTCAAAATAAGTTTTATTTAATTGCTGTCCAAAAAATAAATAAATAATAATAATATTGTTGAAATAAAATATTAAACATTATAATATTTTATATTTTATATTCAATGAATAAAGCATTGGATAACATTTAATCAACAAAAAAAAAATTAATTCAAATGTATACTTTGTATATCAACTATTTTTTATTTAAGATTTATTGAATTGAAAAACTGATATAAATTTTAAAAATAGAATCAAAATTATAGATATATATAATGTGTTACAAATAATAGAGAGCACACAATATTTTTTAAGTAAAAATACAATTTTATGGAATTTTTTTCTATAAATAAAAAAAGTTCATAAATATTTATGAAACACAACTCATTGAATTGTATTTTACTTTTTTCTCTATTATATTCAATATATCTTTTTTTATATTAAATATTTTTAATTTATTTAGTTTTTTTTAAACTCACAATATGTTTAAATAGATTATGAATAAATAAAATCTTAAATTATTGAATACTGTATCCATTATACTATTATATAATAAAATATTACATTAATATACTGTATTATATTTTATGTATGTATGTAGAGAATGTATAAAAATAATTAATGTATAAACTTGCACATTAAATTTATTATGATTTGAATTGTATGATTTAATACAGTATATGTTGACAATATATTTAAAAATGTGTAATATTTACTTGCAATCTTCAATATATCCAAACGCATTCAAATGTACATTAAAAAAAAGGTGTAATGCAATTGACTTAATTGAAGATAATTAGATTTTATGTATCACTTACTTTGATTAATCGTATGATTAATTAATATTATTATTATTATTATTATACCAAATCAAGTGGTGGGACGTATAGATATAGTTCATTACAATTTGCTGACGACAACAGCCCTAACTCACCCACTGAGACATCAACTGTGAGAGTGAGTTAAGTGACCGAAGAGACACTTTGTTTTTTATTACAACCCTTTTAGTGAACTCACAAACATTAAATCGTACGGTATTTTTAAAAAAAGATATAAAATTATTTTAAATTATCATTATTTTTATCAATTAATTCTAAAAAATTTCATAAAATTGTATAAATTTATTAATAAATTATGTAAAATAAAAAATATTTAATTTGTATGTATATAAACAAACATGCAGCCTGTTCATTTTTTATTATACTTATAATTAGAAACATTTGTGGTTTATCTAAATCAAAAATATGATTAAAAAAATTATGATATTAAATAGTGTATATCTAATCGTTAAGTATATATTGATATAGAAATGTTTCA